TGAGATCTGTGCATACGTTGAATGAGGGAAATGTTGTAAGGCTATGTAAAGTTTTTAACAGTTCTAAACTATATAAGATGTTCTTCTTTACCTTGGATGGACTGGTAGTCCTCTTCCTCTTGCTAGGGCTGGACTGGTCGACTGACTGGCTAGAGGAGAGCATGTGTGGAGGCAGTGACTGTGCTGGGAGCTGGGACTGACCTTCACGCTGATGAGATTTTCCTGCTTGCTATGGGTAAAAAAGGTCAAGACAGCAGCTTGTGAAGACAGCAGCTTGGAGGAGTTCACACAGCAAAGGAGTTTCCTGGAGTTTCTCTGCATACTCACTCTAAACCACTTACAAAAGGACTAGCTTTATTTTGGAAGATGTCTACCTTATAAGCCAATGGTGGTGAAAACAAAAAGCAAGATTTTAGAACTAGGGTTTCCTTTTCATACACTTTCCAAGCCTTGTACTATATCAAGTTTTTTTCTTGGCAGTAATAATGGAACACTGACATGACCAATGAAAACCAAGCACATTAACACAACACAATTTGCCACTGAAACATTGATACTGAACACTTCAGCGCCAAATAGCTGCTCGAGAAAGACAGTTAATAAGAACAGGGAGTTCGTAATATATTTTACACCAACAGTCTCCTAATAATTGTCCCTCGACATTCACAAATGCTGCATTCACCAGAGATCTCCAACTGATCTAGTGCATTGGTCACTATTTTCTGTTCATGTGGATCCCATGAACAGTAATGATGAATGATATGAGTGATTGAGTGAGCTGTTGTGTTGATGAAATCAAAAGTCAAATAAAATTAAATTGTTAAATCATCAAAGATTGAACCATGGATTACAAATTAGTGTAAAGAATAAAACATGGCGTGAAGCAGCATGTCCCGAAGTGTTTGCAATTTGCCAGGGATTATTAATTTAATAACAAATGTTTTATGTTTCAAATGCTAAATAACAAATGTTTTAATCTGTTTATTAGTAGCCTTAGATTGTGTGGAATGTTCAAGAACACTCAAGTTCCTGTGATTGAGCGGTTACTACAGAAATAATAAACCGGTGATTTGACTTGCGGCTATCACTTCTGTTCGAGCTCTGTCATTATTAAATATTAAAAAACACCGTCTGACCAATACGATTTGAAAATATAATAGCACTGTGGTATAAAAACCTTTAAAGTGAAATGGTAATATTTATGTGCAAACACTGAAGGTGTTCAAAGTGTGAAAGAAGTATTAGTATATATAAAACATTACCATAGAATACATCTAAAGCTCTTGGAGAAATGCATATTTGTTTAGCATTAATACCGTATTAAACAAATAACCCTACTAGAATCCTCATAAAGGGTGTGGGAAGTGGGGTGGATGTCTACAGGCCCGTCTAGCTGAGCTGGTCTCACCTGCTGTGCTGTGTTCAGGGCTCCCTGTCTGGAGGTAAGCTCTGCTGGAATTGGTAGGCTCCATGCCTCCTCAATACTAGGGAGCATTTTACTTTTACTCTGTAGACTACCTTGTTGTAGATTACACAACTGAGCCTAGAAAAGATGTGTAAAAATCACAGTTGGATTTATAAGCGGTTGATTATTTAAAAAAGAGCTCCATACATCAATCTACATATTTGAAAATCAAACATTCCAGGTCATGTAATGGAAGTATGTTGGAAAGTAAAGATGGTAATGGCAAAGGCTTGGAAACAGCTCAGGTATAAAAATAAATTGTATGCGGATACTGAAACATGTACACAATGCACAGTTTGGAACAGAAAATACTAAAACATAATCTATATGTCAAATAGGACCCATAAAAATTTGAATATTAAGACATTGTTATAGTCTAACACATTGGACAGTACCTGTAGGCATTTAATACGGGCAGTGAGGGCAGTAACGTTAGAGCAGGACTTGCTGCAGGTGGCATTAATGTAGCATTTGATGGCATCCTGAGGCTGGTTGCAGGACTCATAGAGGGTTCCCAAGTCCATCCAGGCAGCTGCATGGCTGTGATCCAGCTGTACTGCGCATATATAGGCCTGAAGTGCATCCATTGGCTGGTTCTGCTGCTGATACAACACACTGGGGACGAGAGCAGCAGAAGGAAGGGAAGACAGTCATAAGGGAGTACAGAGAAACAGTCACAAGAGATCGGACATGAAATACTAAGTGGGAAGGTATGACTAAGAAAACCAGAATCCCAATTAAGGACATAGCTATTGCAGTCAACCGGAGCTCAAATAGTAATTCTCTCAAGATGTACTAAAAATGTAAGCTTTTAAATAACCAGTTGGCATTTTTTAAATTTGCCAATTGTAGCAAAACATATATGCCTTACAATGTTACAAAACTATATCTATCAGCTGCTGGCAGCTCAATTACACCAACTAGCAATACTGTGTTTCCATATATCATGCCTTCATAGTGCTTACCCTATTGAGCACCATGTATCAGCACTAGCCTCCGACTTATCAATGGATTGCCTGTATGAAATAAACGCATCCTGGACCTTTCCAATACTGGAGTAGCACCTGTGAACAGAGAAGAAATTCAGCATGATCATCCAACTGAGGTTTGCTCTGAAGTACTGAACATATAAACACAGTTCTATGTTGTTATAGACTCAAGAATGATTCAATCCTGCGAGTTATCATCCTACAACTAGCCTTGCCTAAAAACTATAATTTCTTAAAATATAATGTCAGCTACCAAGATACACAGCAGACTTTGGATCTGACAGTCGAGTCTCCTGACTGGTAGCAAACAAGCTTTGGTTAGATCATGTTAACCAAATTGTTTTTAGGTTAAGTAAAACATATATATGTTATATACTGTTATATATATATATATATATATATATATATATATATATATATATATATATATATATATATATATATATATATATATATATATATATATATATATATATATATATATATATATATACAGGATCGAATGGTTATATAATGTTATATATATAACATTATAAATGTCAATAAAACATTTTTGTGAATCTGTATAATAAGTATCTCAATATCAGTGAGTAACAAATATATGCTTATATATAAAATGCTTGCCAAACCAATACATTTCACACACGATCTCCATGCTTTATTAAAAAATAAATAAATAAAAAGTTTTAGTACCTGCCCAGGAAGTACCAAGATTGTCCAGAGTCAGGATCTGTTTCCAGAGACTTCTGTAGACACTGAATAGCATAGCTGTCTTTGTTAGCTTTATCTCCTAGCTGTTCTACTGTGTGATGCATCCAGCCTGTAGAAGCATTGGAAATCATCAATCAAATTAATTATCTCGCACTACAATAATATGACCTACAAAAACCTAACAATGTCTGTGCTGTATCCATGAACCCCTGAGCAAGCTCACTTGGGAAAACTTCTGGACATGAAAAAGCTAGTGGTTTGCTCGCTTGCTCATCTTTGTCCATAAGGAGATAACAGAAGAGGGACGAAAGGGAAAGAGGAGGTTCTCTCACTACCAAAAGTAGCTTCAAAAGATCCCATCACAGACAGCCAGAGGTTGTTAAGGACAGCAAGACGGTGTGTTAGACAAAGCCTCTCCCAGCCCCTGATCCCAGCTGAGCTTTTAACTGCTGTGCCAAACGCCTACGCCTGTCACTACGGCAACCGCACGAGTGCCGACAATTACAGGTCAGCGTGGAAATGGTTTTACGACAGCGTCTCTCAGCCCCCCTTGCCATCCTTCCAGGGAAAATTCTAGACTGGCAGGAGATTTAAAAGGACCTTGAGGGGGTGGGTGCAAAAGACCCACCAGGTGGGTTGGATGTTTTGTGTGGTCCGTTGTGCAACAAGGCTAAGGTAAAGTAAAACTGGTGTGCTGTTGCATCAGACTAAACAGAATTAAATCTGGGATTAGAGCTTTTTTGAAGTAATCACGAAAGAGTGAACACGCTTTCTGGAAGAGATTATAGTTCATTGTGGTGTAATTAAGAGCTATTAGGTTAGATATTGAATTCTGGCCTTATAAATTTAGGCCAGAAATCAAACCACAATTTTCATTCCCTCAAAGGTGAAAAAGATAATAAATATTAATTAAACAACAAAGATATACTACAACTACACTTAAAGGCTACACTTAAAGTTAGGAAACTGAAAAATGCAAAACTTACCCAGTTGCTGGAGAGTAGTTGCCTTCACCTGTACCGGAAGATTCTCTGTCTGTAACAGACTTTCATATGCTTCTTTTGCCGCACGGTACTTCTTCTGCAGAGAGAGTGAGGACAGGACGTTTAGCAGACAGAAAGGTCAGCGCTTTTATGGCCCATAAGGGTGGACACAAAGGGGCTCCACAGACTGACTACAATGAGAGCGCTGGCTAGGAGGAAAGGACTTAACTAGGCAGGCCAGACAGAGTGATCGCATGCACAACAAGACAGACACACACCGGGGGAGGGTCAGTCTAGGAATGGACAGGACATGACAGGACAGACTAGACTCAACAAGCAATGGGTTAAGAGCACATTAACGCAAATACACACACGCACTCACAAATTATGAGAAGCCCACTCAGAATATTTGTTTTTCTTGGTGACCTTGAGACTGAGCCATAGACTCCACAAACCCAGGCTGAGTGCTTAACAAGGCCCAGCCCACACACAAGCATTTAAAAAAAAAAAAAAAAAAAAAAAAAAAAAAAAAAAAAAAAAAAAAAAAAAAAAAAAAAAAAAAAAAAAAAAAAAAAAAAAAAAAAAAAAAAAACAAAGCTAGCACATCACACCTCACACTGTTATATGGACAAACCCCTTCCTGTGTGAGATTGTCTGTGTATGAGGTACTAACTGTATCTAAGAGTACACAGAGAAACTACAAAATAGGCACTGGTACAGAACTGTATGAAAAATTTCAAACACTATCACAAACCTGCTTCTATTCACCATTCTGTTTAAGAACTAACCATAAGGTTCTCTACTTATGGACTAATTTTCTTGCTCAGTCTATAACAAGGTTCAAGGTTCTTTATTTGGCTAGCTCGGGTGGTAGAGTATGGGACTCTTGAACTCAGGATCGTGGGTTTGAGCCCCATGCTGGGTGCCAACCTCAGCCACTTGGGGTGCACAGGCCAGTGCACTCTCAGTGCCGGTCAAACCCACGATATTGTTATTGTCAGAACAACAATAGCAACAGTCTATATCAGTCAGGTCCAAAGATGTTGGAGATTTAGAGCCCTCTCCATTAAAAATATGTTTATTCCAAACAGCTTGTGCACTCTCTGATTGACCTGATGGGATGTGTATGGCAAATCAATCCAAAACACACAGTGTACTGAGCAGATAGCTAGTGAAAGAAAGTAGCACAGGATGTTGTCTAAGAATAACTAGATAGCCTTTCTCACACTACATTCTGATTTTGGGGGGAAAGAAATGCAGGTCAACTGAGTCCTGCAAACATGATGCCAAAGAAAATAACTGGGGTTTCTGTTGAGGGGTATCTTCCAAGTACAACTTTATATTATTGTGTGTTTGGATCAGTGTTCGTTGAAGTGTCACTGAAAGTAGCTTGACCTTCTCTCATGCCAAAAGTGGCTATGTATAATGTGCAAGTCCAAAAAGCTCATACCAAATTCAGACACAGCTAAATTTGAATCATTAATGTAGGCTTTGGAGTGCACCAGGTCTACTGACCCAAATAGCTACTTATCTTATTTGTAATAATAATTTAAAAAAAAAAAAAAAAAAAAAAACACACACACACAACACACCACACACACTCTCTCCACTTTAAGGATTGATGTTAGAAATAAGACAAAGCTTCAACAAAAAGGGCATGCTCAAATGACCGTCACTTAACAGTCATTAGCCCTTACAAAAAGATGAACCAAATCAAAAATTAAAAACATAGTGCAAATACAGAACAGCACTCACCTGAATTTCATATAAATGAGCAATGTGGAAGTGAACTGCATAAAGGGAAAGAGAAGGAAAACAGTCACTAAAGAAAGATACACCAAAAACAGCAAAGGAGGAGAAAAAAAATGTCACTAGCAAGAGCACTATGTATCCACACCAGAAGATAAAGAGTCACTGGTAAGCTGCATATGGAGGGAGAGGGAGAAGGTTAATGTGCTCTATGTGCACTTCTAGCCCATCATTACTGCCGGTGTGGAGAACTGCACAAGGCTAAATCCTGTAAGGCAGTTTCCTTGGCAACTGGAGTCTTAGGGAGTGTGGAAACGGCAATGAGGAGGAAAAATAAATTACAGAAATATCCATTTGTATCCAGTCTGCCCAAGCCGCCTAGTCTCTTCTCATTTCGCCTCAAAAGGAATTGATGAAAGCACCACTGTAATTCTGCCCATTGACACATCCAGATACTCACTAGAACTGGATTATATGCATAAAGGAGGATTGTTTTGTTGCTTAATGGTACTTACTTTCAGCTTTAGACAAAGTGCAGGGTGTGGAGTCAATCAAAGCCAGCTGAAAATGCTGTAAGGAGAGACAGAAGAGGTGTGACTAAGGATCATGTTAATTCACTTTAGCGCTGGGCGATTTTCATAATTAATTTGCATTAATGTTTTAACTCGATTTTCAAAATGATTAATATGAAATGTTTAAACCAATACGAAGGAAAAACACAGACTTCTTAACCTGATAAACACCTCCTACAGCCTGCGCGCTTAGATTAAAAAAAAAAAAAAAAACAAAACAAAAGATAAACAGGCAGCACTTTGCTCGTAGCAAAGAAAGTTTCAAATATCACTTCAGAGATATGGAATTGGTACACATTTGAAAAGTTGGATGTGAAGTTTATGTAAAATATAATGCTGCATTACGTCCTAAGTGGTAACTCGCTGGTCGGAATTACTTCATTTTCTACCTCGGCACGTTCGACAGACTAGGCAGCTAACTCGGATGAATGATGTATGTTTTCCTTCTCAAACAGAAAACTGTACAGTCAGTGTTTTAGATCTAACAAATGAATATGTCTGTACGTTGATTAATCAAAAGCTAATACTTGTATATACAGTATAACTCATTTAAAGGTAAGAAGTTTTACTCTGTTTATTTCTGATGCTGTGCTTAACCGTGCTGATTTGATGTCACTCCGTAATCGGGGAAGAAAATACGGATTTGAGAAAAACACCCCAAGTTGACTTCTCAGTTGCGGTGGCATTTCATGTTACCAAAGACATGGTCCCCATTTACTCTGTCCGGAACAAGTAGCACCATCTATATAAAAAAAATTTTTTTGCACTATTTGCTAAATATCCCTTAATTAAAAGAGCCATTGTTCGCACTATTTGCTATAGATGATGCTGTTACTTCTTTTGCACATCTACATTTTCGAAAATCCATTCTAAAAAATAAAAAACTTAAAACTTTTAAAAAATAAACAATTTTTTGCATTATTTTAAGAACAAAAAAAATTGAGACCATAATCAATAATAGTTCATAAAGTTGAAAAAAAAAAAAAACATATATATATATATATATATTTTTTTTTTCCCTTTGCCATATCACCCAGGTCTAATTCACATACAGCTCGCTTTACAGAGAGGATTTTCAACAAGGTTAATTTTTACACTCTACAGAAAGCCTTATATAGTATATAAACTATATAAAGTGTATCATGTTGAGATAAAGGTGTACTCCTTTGTCCTAGTTTCAACATCAAACTGACTACAAGTGTATAATATTTAGTGAAGATGACCAAAACACCATCATTTTATGCAATTTGAAAGGACACTAACAAACTGATAGCAGAGAGGTGACTAGACCTAGTAACATCTATTCACGTAGACACACTCTAAAACTCTAAATCTGCAATGGCATGAGCAAAGGTATCTGATGAAACCATAAATTCAACACACAAATGTTTAGCTCTGCCCCAACAACTGGGGGCTGCAACAGTTGTCTTGAATCCACTTCAGTTGCGATTAAATTGTGAAAAAAGCCACTGAACCCAAAATATGAAACTGCATCAGAAATTGGACAAGAATAAAAATAACAAACCACTTACTAAGGAAATGAGGTAAAGAAATAGGTAAAGAAACTCCTGTACAGAGAAGCACTAAGAAAATTTCTCATTATAATGACGGAGGAAAATGTATTTAATCCAATTCTTTGTGCATATGTGCAAAGGATATTTAGTCCACCAGAAAATGATGGCCCACAAAGTGTTTCATTAGACAATTAAGCTTAATTAAACAGCAAGTTTTGTCAGGAAAATGTCTTCACAAGTCTGCAAGCATAGCAACAACTGAAGAGAGACAGCAATGAATTACAATATGTTGCAGTACACAGAAACAGGAGAGACATATCTGTCTCCTGAGCCTTACCAGTAATAGCTTTCACAACCCTTACTGACAAGATCAAAAATCAGGTCTCTATTTAATAATAAACACAGGTAAAACGACAGAACTATGAAAATAAGGAATCTCCTTTTAAATGTGTACTACTGATGCAGCCTTTTGCAGATGGAAAATTTGAACCACTTACCTCTGTCCTTTCGATTCCGGTCAACCATTACAGTTAAGACACACATTCCACATAATGGCAAAGAAAAGACAATGAAAATGTACAAAAACAAAATTCCACAGAGTACCTACCTATCCCATACACACACCAGGAGCATATCAAGCCATTAGTGCTATGCAGTCTGCTTTTTGATATCCCTCAGCCAGCTGACCATCCTATGTGAGCTCTGTGGCACTCAGCGGGCAAGAAGATAATGCAGCAGGACTGCCAGCTTCTGTCTCCTTCCAACACTGATTACTATTCAAGAGAGCAGCAGCTGAGAGATGACATGCTGCTCCCGTTCTCACTCACAGACACACACCTCCAGGCTTTTTAATCACACACTTCATATGCGTGCAGTAAGCTCTCCCCACACTCTTTTCAGAAAGCCAGAGAAAGAGAGACGGGGGGAGAAAAGAGAAGCAGCAGAAGTGCTGCACCAATCAATCCCTTTGGGGTTGTGGGGGGGGAGCAGTATGGCATTTCTAATTGTGGACCATCTCTCACTTTCTCTCCCAGTACATGTTACGTATTGGAACAATCTTGCTCTCACGTTGTAAAGCTGTAGGATTCTTTATTCCACCAATCAAAATCAACACCTTGCTGGAATGTAAAAATCTACATCTATTCATTATTGAAGACTGACGCAAAGACAATCCGTTCAGGAAAATAATTCATACCAATAAAAATAATGAAATGCTGTGAAGGGTGCATTATTAAACACATCCTGTTTTAGCCACATATAACAGGATCGAATGGTAAGAAAGAAGCCCTGTCAGGCACATGAGCTGTATCTGTGAGGAGCTGTGAGGTGCAGTGCTGGTTCCTTGCCTTTGTTCCCATAAGTGGGACACTGATTCGGTGTGTAATCGGAAGGCTGGCTGCCAGCCAGAGCTGCCTTCAGCACCCTCACAGAGAGCAGAGGACTTTCTGCACGTGCAGCACCAGCAACTTATTAATGCTCCCTCACTTGCTTTTTACTCACTCTGCCCACAGCACCCTGGAGAGTAAGGAGCAAAAGAGCTGACTGACTGACACACACACTCACTGGTGATGACTGAGGACTGCAGATATAAAAGCCCCAATTCATGTACACAACACCCAAACACACAGGAATAAACTGTGTCACCATGCTAACTGGGGAGGGAAACCCATTTATTAATTGTAGTGTTTTTGCGCTCAGTGAGAATAAACAGATACTGGGCGGTAGGGAAACAGGAAGGGACAAAAAAGCAAAGTCGATATTGCGCATCAAATCCTCGGCACAGAGGCTCCTCTCCTCCCTTATTAGGCAACATGACCCAGATGGCAACTCAGCATGCAAACCACTGCACTAAAAAGGATTGAGAGATGCCTAAAGGACCCCATCCCTGAACCTTAATGAACAGCAGCAGAGGCCAGAGAAAAACATAGAATGCAACAGCTGTTTAGCCAAAAAGGTTTTTTCCTTTTGCTTTCTATGTTACACACACACAATTTTTTTTTATTTGTGTGTGTGTGTATAATATATATAGTTTTTATTTATTCATTAAGATAAATCCTAATTTAAAAAAGAAACTCAATTGCAGTGTTTAA